AAGTGGTGCTATCTCAGCTCACTGCAACCTCTGTCCCCTGCGTTCAGGCAATTCTCCTGCCTCAGCCTCCCAGGTAATTGGAATTACAGGTGCATGCCACCACGCCTGGCTAATTTTTGTATATTTAGTAGAGATGAAGTTTCACCATGTTGGCGAGGCTAGTCTTAAACGCCTGACCTCAGGTGATCCATCCGCCTCAGCCTCCTAAAGTGCTGAGATTACAGGCATGAGCCACCACGGCCGGCCTGCTTTAATGTTTATGAGCTATGTGTGGGTCCTTGGACAAGATGATAGGCAATTCACATCATCTTTGAGTCTCCATTTACTCACCTAGAAAATGAGGACAATATCTTCCTTATCTACCTCATGGTATTGTTGCCAGGACCAAATAGGGCCACACACACAGCATCTGGAAGGTGCAAAGCACTTTACAAATATAAGCAGCTATTAAAGTAATATGAAACCACACAGTAAAAATAAGAGAAAATGAATTAAAAATACAGCAGACTAGATCCAGCTTATGTAAAAGGAGAACTTCCTAATAGTGAGATTTTTTTTTTTCCAGACAAGAATGAAGATATACTGGAAGCCATGATCACAGTGAAAGAGTATTTCCAATGAAGGAAGTACAGGTTGACAATGAGTCCCTGCTCTAAGAAAGGTTTTAGAAAGGGGCTTGGACCTACATGCCCATGAGTGCCTATTTCAGATCCATGTAACTTTTTGAGATAAAGGATAAAGAGTAGAATCATTGGTTGCTCATTGAATACTTAATGGTGAGCATTGAGAGTTGGGGATTTTGTTCAATGTAAAAAGATAAAACATTTTGGTTGAGAAAGATCTGCCTAAGGACCAACCCCCCTTTCCCCAACAATAATGTTTAACTATTAAAAAATAAATAGTGCTGGGCGCAGTGGCTCATGGCTGTAATCCCAGCACTTTGGGAGGCTGAGGCGGTCTGATCACTTGAAGTCAGGAGTTTGAGACCAGCCTGGCCAACATGGTGAAAACCCATCTCTACTATAAATACAAAAATTAACTGGACATGGTGGCACACATCTGTAATCCCAGCTACTCTGGAGACTGAGGCATGAGAATCGCTTGAACCTGGTAGGTGGAGGTTGCAGTGAGCTGAGGTCACCCCACTGTGCTCCAGCCTGGGCAACAGAGTGAGACTCCTTTTCAAAAATAAATAAATAAAATAAAAATAAGTAAGTAAGTAAATGACAGACTGGGTGGGGCTGCTTTAAAGTGTTTCCTGGAGAAGAGAGAAGAAAATGACAACTAGAGAAATCAGGGAAAGTTACTGGAGAAGCAGGGCTGAAACTTTAAGGAAAGGGTTCAAATGAACGGGCAGGGGTGCAGAAGTAAATAACGTGACAATATCTAGAGAAACATGGGCAGCTTGTCTAAGGGTAAAGGAGAGATGAGCTTGTCTGGAGTAAGGATGTATTATCGATAAGCAGTGGGGAATATGGCCTGCTAATGGGGAGGTAGGGGGGAGTCAGACTCCAAAGGGCTTAAAAGACAGAGGAGTAAGCAACATTATCTGCTGGCTTAAAAGCAACAATATTTCTATAAGGTTTCAATCAAGTGATTCCCTAGTGTTCAGTGAAAGGATAATTAGGCACAAATTATTGAGAGAAGCAGTGAATATAATTTGTCTTTCAGAAAGTTTTGGACAATGTATTAGACATTTAAAATGGAGTCATTGTCAAATTAAGGGTGATGTTTTTGTCACTTAGAAAACAACAGATAGGTATAAATGGTAACTTCTGTGAATGAAAGGGGATTCAGAGTGCAGGGGGCCCCAAGAGACCATGTTGAGACCTGTCTCACTTAAATTTTTTATAAGTGATCCAGAAGAGGTAGAACAAAGTGAACATTTCAGGACTTCAGATCATGTTAAGCCCTTTCAGACAGGGAAATGCCGCGCCAAAAGAAAGGGAAGGAGGAAGGGGTGGAGGGAGGGAGAGAGAAAGAGCGAGTGAGCAATGCTTGAAGGAAGTTACTGAGTGCAATGCACGATGGCAGACAAACGTCAATGTGGAGAAATGTAAGGTAATGCACTCCGTTAAAAATAATCCACAGGCAGGGTGTTGTGTTCCAGGCTATTAGTTTTGACCCAGGAAAAGGATCAGGGAGCTATTACAGATTGTTCCCTAAAGACAGTTGAAGTCAGGAAAGCTGACAGAGGGATGGAGGAAGCAGGATGGGACCTGGAGACCAAAGAAGAAATCAACCCTCCTTTATGCAAAACCATAGGGTCCTACATCTGGAGACAATGGTCAAGTTGACATCTATTGAATATTAGGGCCCTAGATAAAGGACAACTAAAATGACCCAGAGAATGAGTGTGGCTATTCTAGGGGTCTCGTGTCATAGGGGGAAACTTGAATAATCAAAGCCTGTAAAAGTGATAAGGGTAAGGACAAGGGAAACATAACCTTCTCTACAAATTCTGAATATGTGAATATAGCTTCCTTTTAATGCTTGAAATATCATAGGAATAAAAATGTGTCAGAGTTGAGATCATCTAGCTCTATCTCTTTATGTTAGACACGGTGAAATTCAAGCCTAGCGAGGGCAAGGAAATGGCTCAAGGTCACGTAAACCAACGGGGGCCAAGGTCAGATCAGAGCCCAGCCCTCCTTAACCCCAGGTCAGGGTACTTCCACCTCATCCTGTGCACTCAGGCAGTCTAAAGGGCTCTTTTTTCTAGGGTATAAACTTAGGAAATGCATTACTTTAACATGTGATGAAACACATGTGAAAACACAAAGAGGCTACAGAAAGTTTCCACAAAAAGTCAACCGGCAATTCTAAAATCTTTGGTGGACAACTGCCAACTGGCCCTAAAGGTTCTTTTACACACCCTGCTTTTGTTGTTGTTGTTGTTTTGTTTTGTGGAACCTGTAACCCTTTGAGAGACTGAAGAAGTCTATGGGTCCTTGCCTAGAAATACACACATTTGCACTTAAAAACACAAATTTGTACATAATTTCAGAGCATGTATGAGCCCCTGAGCTCCATGCCCAATTAAGAATATCTCTTCAGGCAGATTCTTCTAAACAAACAGACTGGCTGCTTCAACAAACACACTCCACCTCTTAGGATGACTGAAGATATCACTCTGATTTTCCTCAGCAAAATACCGTTGTCCCAACATTTAATAGAATTGCAGACCTTTAGGTTGGAAGATACTAGAGAAATTACCTAGTCCAACTGCTCCCCTCCATGAGATATAGGATAAGGTCATGCGTAAATAACGAGGAGACTAGAGTCAGCCAGCCTAGGTTAGAATTCCAACTCCATCACTCACTATCTGTGTGACCTTGGGCAAGTTACTTAAGCTCTTTGAGTCTGTATCTACATCTGTAAAATGGGGATAATAATTGGAACTATTTCATAGAGTAGTGACGAGGATTGAATTGGATCATTCGTATAAAACATAGCACCAGGCCTGGCACGTAGTGTTCAGTAAATGCTAGCTGGCATTATTGTGATGATGCATGTATCCATGCAGGCATTATGCATGCCTCCATCCAGTCCCCTCTGAGAGCTTTTACTTGCACAGACCAGTGATGAGCAGCTCGCCTCCTCCTAAGCTGGTTGAGCAGCTCCAATTGTTACAAACTTCTTCCTATATTGAGCCCAAATTTGTCTTCTTGCAACCCCCACTCCCGTTGGTCCCAGTTCTGCCCTGTGGGGCCAAGCTAGAAAAGTCTATCCCACCTCCACCTGACAGCCCTTCAGCTACGAAGACAGGGATCGAGTCCTTCCTCCGCCCTCCCCCCTCCCCCTTTCCAGCTTGAACATCCTGGGTTTCTTCTCCCAACCCACAACAGACTGGCTGCGCTTACTATTTACTCCGAGGCGTTGTACGGTTTCCCTCACACATAGTCATGCAGGCCACACACCCCACCGCCACCACCACAAGCCAGACCCTCGAGATTGGCCCCCGCCCGCTGCCGCTGTCCGCGGTGCTGAAGCCACTGCCGGCCACGGCCCTCGGTGCGGCCCTCCCCGGCCCCCGCCCTGGGCCGCGGACCCGAACCCCAGGCGCGAACCCCCGGCGAGCCACCTCCGCGACCCCGAAAGCAGCAGGCGCGGCCCGGCCTGGCTCGGCCCCGGCGCCGCCCCCCACCCTGCCCGGAGGCCCCGAACCCGTGGCCCCTGGCCCCGCGCGCCAGCCCCACCTGCCCGGCGAAGGGCGCCTCCGCCTTGGCCGCCCGCGCTGCCGCCACCGCCGCCCGGTCCCCGGCCCCCGCCGCCGCCACCGCCGCCGCCGCCCGCGCGGCACCCGGGAGGCAGCAGAGCGCGGGCAGCAGCAGCAGCAGCAGGAGCAGCCGCCCGGGGACCCGCCAGCGGCTCCAGCGTGGGGCCCGGCCCGGCGGCGGCGGCGGCCCCGGCGTGGCGCGGCCGCCCCGGCTCCTCGGCA